CGGGAGGGGCTGGCGACGGAACTGGGAGAGAGTTCGGCAAAGGCCTCGGTCGATGACCCCGAGGAATGCTCAGTCTCGTCAGACTCACTCAACTCAATCACGTGTCGTGAATCGGACCTGGAGGCGTGTAAATGCCGGGGGCGTATACAGGGCAGCAGTGGAGGTCCCTGTATGAAGCCCAAACTCTGCATGTTTTCCTTAGTGATCATGTCTCCGATAACGATCTCCCCTAACTCACCCCGAAAGTTGTGAACATCCTGCGCCAAAGGAGCCGTCTTGGGGGGAACCCTGTGTCGTAGGAAGCGGGTATTCCTAGAAAGGAAGGGGCGAGGAGAGCCTATAGAGATAAAGACGAAGTGTGGCTTCCAATCCCTATTGGTTTGGTTAATGTCATGGAACACCTTCATATTGGCCCGAGCAGCAATAGCTACATAACCTTACTCGTGTAGCCCGAGGACTCGATAACTTGGAAGAGGCTTTGAAAGACTTCCAGGTAGGGTTTCAAATTGATGGCCTAGCATCGAAGGAGAAAAGCAAAAAGCAGATAATGGGCATTGGGGACTAGTTGTCCCAGGCTTACCCCATAATGGTTGAGGAAATCTATCATGAACAGGTGTATGGGGAAGCGGAATCCAAGATGTAGGGATTGCACGTGGACACCAAAGAAGTGAGGTTCGGGGGGCGTCGTAATATTCCCCCTGGGGAAGGTAGACGGATCTTGGCAATCGTGCCCGCGTAGCTCTTGGCCTCCTCGAATTCTTGTTCAGAGGTCTCAGACAAGGTAGTGGAAGGAACGAGTGTTTCTAGCCCGATATACAAGGTGGATCTTCGAAAGGAGCGGAATCGGGGTCGGCCATAAGAGGCGGTGGGGGGGGGGGGGGGGCATCTAAAGGCTCACATATGGTGTGGTGACCTCCATGGAAGGGGAGTGTGCGGCAAAAGCAGAGGGGGTATCGTTAGTGGGGTCCATAAGGAGGTCCTAGGTGTCTAAGGAATCCAAAAGATCGTCTAAAGAACTGGAAGAAGAATGCATGCAAAAATATAAGGCAAACGAGGAAAGTGAGGGGGGGGGGGGGGTGTTCGGCCGAAAACGAAAAAAAACGTGCGAAAAAGTGGGAAAAGAGGTAGGAGGAAGTTTACCATGCTCGGGCTAGGGGCTCGTGGAAAGGGCTCGGCTTGGGAGGGCGCGGCGTAGCTCGGCTCGTGAGTAGAAGAGAGGAGAGAAGGGGAATTGTTTTGGTGGTGAGAAGAATGAATGGGAGGATGAGTGTTTATATAGAGAAGGGAAGAGAAGGACAAGGGGGAAATTCGAAATTCTAAAATGAGGGAGAGAAACGAGGAAAGGATGGGGAGTGGTGAGAGGTGATGGATGTGATGGGTGGACTTTTGAGGTATTTATAGGGAAGATAAATGAAACATATTGGGAATCTACCACTATTTATTGGAGTCCTACCAGATGAAGAAGTCATATTCGCGATAGAACTCCAACATTATCGCGATTAAATATTTTTTGCACGTGAACAAGAGGGTCTCGGATGCGGATTTATGGGGTCGGAATTTTGGGCGCACGGGTCGGAACATTTACTCTCCTTCGCTGACGACTACTCACAACTCGAAGAGTGGGAGACTAATGATGGATAATTACGAGTAGAGCCAAACCGACCCGAGAAGACGGAGCGCGGAGGATCCGAGCAGATCTCGAGCCTCGGGGTTGAGCCTCGCGCTCAACCCGGGCTGCCTCAGCATGAGGCCTCAGCACGAGGCCTCGGACGGTTGGTGTGCAAGCCTTTCTCCGAACCGGGCACGGTCAAAAGACCTGCCCTTAGAGGGGCAGTTAGGAGGTTCGGGATGTATAAAAGACCTGCCCTTTGTCCCGTTAAGACATCTCTTATCTGTTTCTAGTAACTTTGTCCTAAACTACCACTATAATAACATTACATTCTCCTTGTAATAGCTTGACAATCGTTATCTAATACCATATATGGTCCCGAACATCATTTTACCTATCTATTTCCTATTTGCGTTCTTAATCGGTTTTAGTAATTTGGGCAACCCCGGGTTAATTAAATCCATTAGTCGTCTTCCTTTGTTACAGGTTTGCAAGGATTCTATTCTGTGATAGTGCTCCCGCCAGTCCGCCACCCCATGTTACCATACGACTCATCGCGGTCCGATTTTCTCACGAATTACACGTGCACGCAGTAGGCGTACCCGTTATGTGCACTGCGGTCGCCGTGCGTTGGACATGTGTGGTTTATGGACTTGCACACGGGAATTTACGTAAGTTCACACGGACCTGTTTTAAAATATAAGGAAAATGATATATGTACTCCAAGGGAGTAAAACTCCCGCCACATGTTCTAATTTTATTGGAGGAAGATGAAAAGAAAGTAATAACAACTGTGGCCCACCTTGCTTTGAATGAATCAAAAGGTGATATGTAAGCATGGAGTAAAAAAATGGAGTACAATGTGAGAATACATGTAGTATTACTCAAAATATAATTAGGGTTTGCGTTTTAGCATTGGAAAGAAAAGCGTATCTCCGGGGTCCATGGTTACTATATACTGGCAGCGTCTACTTTTGGTGACGTTAGTTTCTTTCTCGTGTGTTTTCTCTCTCGTTTCAGTATCATAGTTGATTCACAACAACCTAAGTCTCCTTCCTTATGGACACCTAAAATCATGGAAAAGATCAGCATAAATTATTATTATTTGTTTTTATGGATCATGAAATTTACAATAGTAACCTTGGTTATTTTTTTAAAAACAATAGTAACCTTGGTTATTACTTATTAGTTGTTTTTAATATGCTGATTAAATATTAAAATCATCTTAACCATTGAAAGTCAAATTAATAATGGATGCACTAGATTAGTTCTTAGTCGTTTCTATTTAAGGGAATGTTCTCACTTGAATTCAACCATAGGGATGCAATTCCATGAGAATCCCCTCCCCATGAGTCCATGAGAACCAATGTCATCTATTTGAAAAATAGATCTATAGATGAGATTAATTGAGAGATTAAAATCGCGCGTATGTATATTAGGCTTTATTATTTGTGTATATTATATTGTCCATATGTTGCACACGACACATGGTTAATATGTACACATCACAATGCCTAATATGCACACACACGTTTTAAATCTCTCCAATTAATCTCATCCATATATCTATTTTTTTAATGGATGTGATTAGTTCTTATGCACTCATAGGAATGCTGGTTCTCACGGGAACTAAAAAATGTTGGTCCAATTTTTTGTTGAAATGAATGGTTCATATTATTTTAATTTTAGTATTTTTAAAATTATTTTTCCTATTTTACCGTATTTTATATCACTTACTTTTTTTAAATACCTCCGTATTCTATTAGTAACGGAATATTCAATTAACTATTTATTATTCAATTCTTAACTTAGGGTCTGTTTGGAAACCCGGAAAATGACTTCTGGAAAATGAGTCATTTTCCAAAAGTCATTTTCCTTTCCTGTGTTTGGCTGCACAATGGAAAACTGTCTTTTGGTGTTTGGTTCATTTTTCAGAAAATGATGGAAAAATGTCTTTTGGTGTTTGGTTCATTTTTCAGAAAATGAACAAAATGAAATACTAAAACATTTTAATTATTATATACCGATTATGACAATTTGAAATCACAATTACATATTAGAAAAAACATAAATGCATAAATAAAGTCTTGAAAATTAAAATTCACAAATTAAACAAAATCATTTTATTATATAATCAGTAAAAAAAAATAACAGCAACATGATTTGACATAAAAAATAAAAAATAAAAAAAAAATTGCATCTGATTTCGGAACTGGTTTTCCGCATCGGAAACCAGATCTGGTTTCCGATGCGGAAAACCAATTCACTAGTTTCCGATCGGAAACCAGTCTCACTGGTTTTCCGATCGAAAACCAGTGGGTCACTGGTTTCCGATCGGCAATCGGAAACCAGTGCAGTCACTGGTTTCCCGTCGGAAACCAGTGACTGCACACTGGTTTCCCCACCGGAAACCAAACTGGTTTTTGGTGGGGAAACCAGTGAAGAAGGTTGAAAAAAAAAATCTGAAATGGTGAAGTCATATTTTGGGAGAAGAAGGTTTGAGCGTGTGTTGATTGGAAGATGGAAAATGACTTCCGCCAAAAAAAAGGGGAAGTCATTTTCCAGATTTTAGCCCTCATTTTCCATTGACTAACTAGCATTTTCCTTTGACCATTTTATTTTCAGCCTTCCCAAACACCAAAAACCCGGAAAATGATTTCCAGAAGTCATTTTCCGGGTTTCCAAACAGACCCTTATTGATTTTCATAAGAAATAAGTGGAAGATCTTAGGTTCGAACCCGCTCCCAATCAAAGTTGGAATAATTGTTGAATATATACTATGAATATGTTAGACAGTATTAAAAACTATACAATATAAAATTTAACATAAACTTTGGTCAATTAATTAGCCAAACTAAATACATAACATTCAAAGTTAAGCATCAAAGATTACAAATATGGAATCTTGAAAATTATTTTCTTACATTTTTTTAACAAACCTAGGTTAAGTTTTTTTTTTATTAATTAATCTTATTTTAATTATTTAGAACAAGACTTAATGTTTTAATTATGCTTTTGTATTATTAGAAATAATTTAGGTCATTACGGTATTAATATTTTTTGTATGTATTTCTACAATGGTACACATAAAATTGTGGCTTCGTCTCCAAGCTGATGGGGACGAAGAGCATTTTGTTTCCAGGTTGTTGGGGACGAAGAGCTCTTCATCTCCATCACTCCATGCCAGAGACGAAGCCAAATGTTTTTTTTTTAAATTTATGTATTTAAATTATTAAAATAAAATTTTAAAATTTATTTTTTTAATTTGGTAACTTCCACGTCAGAAACTAATAGGTAAACATGTCACTTTTGGTTCAATTGCTTGATTTTGCATTGTTTAGAGACATATACTAGAAAGCACAATAACATTGATTTTCCTATATATATATAGACACACACTAGACTGGTTCATCATATTTTGATGACAGGATGCTTGATTGCTTCTTCTCCTGTTGGGGCATGGCATTGTTTTGGATCATCTCTTGGGAAAAAGATCTCTTGATGGTCATGAATATTGTCTTCTCACAATAGATTGCATATAGTATCAATTGCAATACTCCGACACCACATCCAATGCCATTTGGTACCTTTATTATCATACAAATATGAGTAACATGTAATTAATTAGATGAAGGAAAATATTATATAGGTTATAATTTATGTCCTCAAGTATAAGCTATTTATAAATATCACTCCTCAATTCTAAGTGGTATAAATGTTGACTCTCCTGAAGAACATAAATTACAATATATGGGGACACATTTTGACAATTCAGAGGCAACATTTATATATACCACTTAGAATTGAAAGGTGACATTTATAATTAATCTATATCTGAGTGACATAAATTACAATTTTCTCGTATATATAAATGTATATTTATTAATAGATTCGGAAGTGGTAGCTTACATAAACAAAAGGGTCCCTCTCAAGGAGGCCAAAAATGAGCCAAGCAGTGCCACATAGGAACATGGAGAAAGTCAAGAGGAATGGCATGAACTCTACACTCTTTGTCTTCATCACAACCCTCTGCACTCGTCAAATTTTCATGAAGATCAAACTACTAATTGTTTGTTTTCCTAAAAGAATGTTCATTTCACTTTAAAATGTTCAAATATAATGTTCTATCATAATAATTAACATACATGATGACAAATAATTATCCTCCTGTGGCTATACTGAAAAGCTATATATTAAATTTTTTTAATAAATTAGGCTGGCTTATTTCTTATTTCCACCTTAAAATCTCAGGCAGTCTAGCTAGGTGTTTTTTTTTTTGGGTGACATGAGAAACCTGTAATCATTATCGATGGTATGCATTGTATAATAGTTCATAAACTACACATGAGAGATAAATAAAACCGCATTAAGAAGATTATTAATAATGAACAATCTTACATTATAATTGATTTCTCATACGCACCTGTGTTGATGGCAACTCATTTGTGTCAAAGCATAGAAAAAGTAAAATTAAGGGTGTATTTGGTTCAAACATGAGAATCGGAATTGAAATACGAATCAAATACTTGGTAACTGAAATGGGTTTTGGTGAAAGTATTGTGCATGTTTGGTAGTATAGTGGAATTAGAATGATTACCAATATTAATGTTTGGTTATATATTATCTTATAATCGGAAAAAATGATTTTAAAAATACAAAAACAAAAAAAATAAAAAAAATTAAGGCATTTGATCTTAAGAGTGACAATGAAGTGAGCTAGGAAACATGAGTGAGGATGCAATGAAATACGGAGGCGATGAAATGAGAAAGGATAATGCTAAATTAATTGAATGATATCTTATTTAAAATAGACCATGTGTTTTGTAATTATAGGGATAATCAAATCATATACATGTGTTTTAAAAAGTTATTGACCAAACAATGTGTATGACTTTTATTTTCATTTCTTGTGTCTAACCTATGAACCAAGCCCAAGCTACAGCTTTATAATAATATGATTTGTAGGTATTTTGGTTTTTTTTTTTTTTTCTTACAATACATTCATAATCTTAGTATAGGATTCTAAAACTCTAACTACATGTTTTTTGAATTTAAAATTTTAAATACATGTTTTTTTTTTTTTTTGTATAATATGTAATTTTGTATGGATGTTATTAAAATACTTAACACTTAATTGTTTTTTTTAATATTATTAATTTTTTTTTGAAAGCTACTGACTTTATTATATTGTAGTATTTGTTCATATAATATTATTAATTTAAAATAATTGAGATAAAAGTTAGATTGATGATTTTTCACTTTTTACGTGAAATTTTAGATGTATATTTTATTAAAAAAATATTTATAATTTGAAATAAATTTTTTCATAAATATTATATTTTTATTTTATTTTCACGGTTATATAATAAATAACTTAATTAATTTAATATTTAAATAATATACTTTCAAATAATATAATTTAATATTTAAATAATATACTTTTAAATAATATATTTTATATAAAAAAAATAATGTACTTTTTATTTGTAGTTCACATCACTTATGTGAACTATCCACAATATAATAATAAAGCTGTTCAATAGAATTTGGACACCTAATTTTTTGCGCCGTGTGCAACATGCCTAGAGCCAAACATACTTTTAGAAATGATTATTATTTTACTAGTATTTTTATGTGCAACGCACAAAAATAAATGCCTAATATTAGTAATTTATATTAACTCGTCAAAAAAATAATTTATATTAAAATTTTAAATTTATTTAGATCTTAAATATTTATATTTTTGTAAATAATAATAATAATAATAATAATAATAATAATAATAATAATAATAATAATAATAATGTAAAACATTTTTATAAATTTGATATTTATATTTTAGAAAATAACTAATGTATAATTTCAATATATAATGTGTATATTATTATTATTATTATTATTATTATTATTATTATTATTATTATTATTATTATTATTATTATTATTATTATTATTATTATTATTATTGAAGAAGATTAGAAAATATATGGTGGATGCATGTGCATGGTAATAATAGTAGAAAAGATAATGGAAGTTATAACGGTATGACTATATTTGTTAGAAATATATAATGTATAGTACAACTCTTATAGCATAATGTATTAAAAAAAAAAAAAAAACAAAACAAAAACGTAACAAAAAAAAAGGGACATAAATGAAGGATATGACCTTCACTCACACTTATTAGTTTTTAGACTTATTAGTTTTTAGATTAGTATTTAGTAGGTTGATATACTTGAAGTATATATAGTTAATCAATGAAACTGTATAGAGTAGAATAAGCAAAACAAATAAAAATTAGTAATACTAAAGATAGATATTCTTACTTTTTATTCTATTTTATACTCTCTGTTTACATGTCATACTTTAATGAAAAAATCATTATTTTGATCTCTCAATTGTTTCCCAACTCTCAATATAGTCTCTCGCTTTCAATTTCAATTAGTTTGATTCTCGAATTGTTTAAAATTTTGCCGATTGAACCCTTTCGAGTGACTAAAATGGTGATTTCCCCATTTTGAAAATTTTGGCAATTTGATCCTACAATGGTTTAATTGATGAAATTTAAAACAATTCGATGATAAGTTAGTTGAAATTGCAAACTAAGGACTACATTAACAATTTGAAAAAATTTGATTGACCAAAATGATAATTTTCCAAACTTTGGTTCATTCATAAAAATGTGAGTCATAGTTTTTATATGTTTCTTTTCATCTTTCTCCAATAAAATCTAGACATATGACATGAGTTTTACTTCATTGGAGTTTACTCAATTATCATTTTCCTAGGAATCCTAGCTATAATAGTAATAATAAGAGTAAATTTCAGGAATGGTCCATTGACTATTGATATTTGTCAATTTGTATCATTTGACTTTCAATTGGACCATAAATTGTCCTTTGACTATTGATTTTTACCCAATGTTGCAAAAAACGTTAGGCGCCCCCTAGACGCCAAGGGGGCGCATAGGCGCCGATTTTTTTTTTTTTTGTTTTTAGTTAAAAATTAAAATTTTTAAAAATTTAGTAATAACACATAAGGTTTCCATAGTTATTTCTTACAAACTATTTACGTAAGTGGTTGTAAAAGTGTTCAAAAGATTGTTTAAACCATCTAAATACATAAAAAGTTATGACTTCCCAAACTTTTCCAACTTTACAACGCACAAAAAAAATTAAAATTAAAAATAAAAAATAAAAAACTCGCCGAACCGGCCGGCTGGGGGGCGGTCTAGGCGGCCGGCAGCAGAGGAGGCCGATTCCGGCCTTCCTCGCGGCGGCCGGCAGCCGCCTAGGCGCGATTTTTGCAACCATGTTTTTGCCAACTTTCAATATGAACATAAATGATCCATTGACTATTGATTTTGTTTCAAATTTGTTCATTCAGTTAAATATCTATTTAATAACTAGTAAATTTAAGAATAATAATGTAAAAATTAGCTTGTTGTTGAGATGAACAAATTGAGTTCATAAATTTAATACATTAAGTTTATCATTGTGAAGAACTAAAATTCTTAAATTACTACCCTTAAATTTAATGTTTATTAAAATGATATTTAATTAGAAGACCAAATTTGGAAAAAATCAATAGTCAAGGAACCATTTATAGTTAAATTAAAAGTTAAAGACGAAGCATTCGAAAAAAAAAGTTAAAGACGAAAATTGGTAAAAATCAATACTAGAGACCATTTATAGTCCAATTGATAATCCAAAGATAAAAAATAATAATTGAGATCAATAATCAAGGGACAATTCCTGAAATTTACTCTAATAATAATAATGAAGTGCAGCACAAAAAATGACTAGTAATTTATAAGGTTGAGAAAGGGGAAGATGAGAAGAGCTTACAATGACTGATAGAGGCGAGAAGAACATAATGGCAGTGGAGATTAAGGCAGCGAAACCGCAAAAGAGCTGTCTGATTCTCCCATGGAAAACAAGTATCGAAAGAAGCGCAACAACAACGAATATTCCGACCACTAAAATAAGGAGTGCTCCCGTTTTTTTCTTTTCATTCTTTGGCGCAAATACTATAAATGTGACCACAAATGCTAACTCAATTACCGTTCCGATTCCATCAATTGTTGTCATAAGTATGTTGTTAGGCGACACAAAAGGCAACCCGTACCTGTCATTATCGCATACCAAATAATAATAATGTAAAAACTAATAAGCGTCAATGAAAATTGTATCTTTCATTTATGTCTATTTTTTCTGTTATTTTATTATTATTATTATTATTATTATTATTATTATTATTATTATTATTATTATTATTATTATTATTATTATTATTATTATTATTTAACTATCTAAAATCAAAAATTTTAATACAAAGTACTTATATTAAGCATTGCAATAATTTCCCTACATTTTGGATGGAATAAAGGACTACTCCATACCCAGAGTCAAGGATCAAGCCTTTAACATTTGGTTAAAGATTGACGTGTCCCTTCCACTCAACCACATTCTTTGAGTTGGTAGTAT